GAGAGAGAGAGAGAGAGAGAGAGAGAGAGAGAGAGAGAGAGAGAGAGAGAGAGACTGAGACTTCAGGTCAGCAGCAATGAGTTCTCAAGTCAAATGATTTGTACCAAGGACAATGGATTGGCCTTTGTTGAATGCAAAGCCAGCAAGCACAACCAGGAGACAGAAATAAAGAAAAGCTTATTACTGGCAAGTAGTCTACTCCAAAACAGAGAGAGACAGGGCTTTTTTTTAATTGGGAGAAACTTAACACCCATTGTCATCTGTAGAATCATGTAAAGGCATGCCTGAGCATGCTCATTTTGTGGTCATACATCACATGAAAAATGGAAAAGGGGTTGGGGGGGGGGTAGAAATGTCATCTGATCTGAAAGTTTCCTCCAAGTCATCTAAAGAGAGTGAATCAAGGTAGTGTAGAGATGGCTTATTCTCTAGAAGGTTTTCTGGAAGATCTTACATGAATGAACAACCACCCTAAAAACTCAACTTTAAAGAAGTATTGACAGTCACGTAAAGGGCCCCAGCTTCCCTCTCCTCCTTATGACTGCCAGACAGCTAGCACATCATTAGGAAAAGAGACTGACTACAGAGAACTTTTGCGTTGGTGGCTCCTCCAGAGGATTCCTCGCGTGTCTGAAAGCCGTGTGGGGCAGGCAGCAGGAAAGCGTGGCGGAGTTAGGAAGTGGCAGCAATCTTCCACCTTTGCAGTACTCCATAGCATCTGATACTTTAAATTATTCTGCAAAGGAAGTGTACATTCGCATCTCTCTCCAGGTAAATTTGTAAAGGTGCGCCTTCATGAGTAACTCACCTGCTGATGGTAGTTACAGCAGTACACTGTGTGTTTATTCCTTATAGTTAAGTCCGAGATGTTTCCTTCTTAGATTATTGTCCCCTTACAGAGTGAGTGAAGAAAGTAGTGATTTTTGTGGTCAGTTTGATACTTAATAGCTAAAATTTCTTTCATTTTAAATTTTGACTTTTAATTTTGAAAGTAATTTAAACTTTGGGAAAAGTTTTCAATAACAAAATGAATTTCCAAAATTCAGAGTTAGTTTTTTAGAGCCGCCATAACAAAGTGCCAAGAGACTGGATGGCTGAAGTGACGGAACTTCTCTGCTCATCATTGAGGTTGAAATCACAGTGTGGATAACTCTGGCTTCTTCTAAAGTCTGGCTTTGTAAATGGCCAGCTTGGCTTTTATCTTTACCTGGTTTCCGCTTTGTATTTCTGTATCCTGGTG